CAAACCGCTTGAGTTTCCGCTGTTCCCATCCATAAAAGATGCTCCCTGGGGTCACTCTTGCGATGGGTTGATACCTCATAGTTTACTTAAGTGACAAGTGGTTTTAGGAGCCCTGGCCCAAAAGCCCATTCCAAAGCAACCCGGGGGCTGCTGCAATGCATAATGTCACATTGTACATCAAAAGTGATGGGGGCCTGTCCTGTCAGATTCCTTAGCAGTTACAATTGTGGGCCAATGAGTCCTCCCAACCCGTTAAGTTTCCATTTGGCTCCACAACTGAGGTGCTTAACTCCTGCAGGCCTCATTGCCTAGAAAGTTGATTTGGTGCAGAGGCGTGAACCTCCTCCAGCCAAAACAACCGTGTCCTCAGCATCAATAAATAAATCTCCTTCATAAATAGAGATTTTAATAAATTCCTGCAAGCCAAACAAGGATTACGCCAGCTTCGCAGGGTGATTCATCCCCTGTTTACATCCTGTGATCTCCACTTTGCTGTGCTCTTCCCCCTAAGAGGGACGGCTCAGAGAGTCTCTTCATTGGTATGGTTCACACAGACCAGTCAAAGGCTGGCTGGCTGGCTGGCTGGCTGGCTTGCAAGGGGTCTTGATACCAGCAGGACTCCTTTGCCAGCACTACCAGCATCTACTGAAGTGCAGTTCCCACTCCTGGTGCCAGCATGCATAGGAGTGGAGGGGAGACGGAAACAGGTTGGGTGGCTGGTGGCAATCCTGACACTTAGGCATCTCTCAATCTACAACAATTGTGGTGGGAGGGGGGCAGGGCATGCCCTTGTAAGCCCTGTAGCAACCTCACATAGCCTGTGATAACTACTACCCAGGACGCTCGACTGTGGCCCTGGAGCCCCTTTCCATCCTGCTACACGTGAAGCAATAACAAAGCAGAAGATTCACCTGAGCATGTGCAGAGTGCTTTACCATTGCCACCATACCAGGGTTGGGGGAAGAAAAAATCCAAGGCAAAAGGTGTGGCTGGAAAGCTGACTCGAGCAATGGCTGGTTCTCTGGCCCGCCCGCCCCTGCTGCCACCCCAGAAGTTTGCAAGATATGGATGGTTAGCTCATTCAGTAGAGTACAACACTCTTAATGTCAGGGTTAGGGGGTTGAGCCCCACGTTGGGCAAAAAAATCCTACATTACAGGGAGCTGGACTAGATGTCTCTCGTACTCCCTTCCAACTCTACTATTCTAAGATCTAAGAAGGAAACACTGATCCGTTTGCCCTCTCCCACCTTCATGGAGGCATTCCCTGGCAGTGACCCTCTGACTGACCCCTTCCCACCCCTCTGGCCCATCATCATTTCCTGCCTGCTCTGGGGGTCAACATCCTGCTTGGCACGCTGAGCAGGGAGAGAGCCGCACAGGACAGAACTGCCATCTCTCGCCTCCCGTGGTGCACAAGGTCACTGAAAGCAGAGGGAAAAACCGTGTGGCTGGCAGGGGGAGAGAGGGGGGCCATCGCTGCCTTATCCCCACATGATGCTGAAAATGCACTTTGTTTTGCTAAATCCTCCAAGCCATAAAAACAGGCTGGGCTCTGTTGTGTTTCCTAACCAGAAGGTCAACATTTGGTTTTGATAGGAGTTTCTCTAATCCTGAAATATAAACTGAAGGGCAAGGAAGCCATGGAAGAAGACCACTGAAGTCTGCAGGAGCCTTCTCAAGATCTGTGTCCTCCTGCCCAACCCTGGCTCCTGCTCAGCACTCAGGTGGGCTCTGCTAATCTGCAACCTCCTCCTCTCCCTCCTCCTGCTGCCTTCATAAAGCCTCATTTTGGCAACCTCAGAAACCTCAATTGCCTTCTCTTGCCTGTGCATCCCTTGCAAAAGGTCCCATCAAACTAGAGGTTGTGTTTTAGTTTGTAAAATTATGCATGGCATGGAGAAAGCCTTTCTCACTCTCTCATAACACTAGAACTCACGAACATCCAACGAAGCAATGTTGGAAGATTCAGGAGGAAGTCCTCCTTCACTCAGGGCACACTTGAACTACGTAACTCACTCCCGCCGCAGGCAGTGGGAGCCACCAACCTAAATGGCTTTAAAAGAGATTTCGAAAAAACTGGTGGAGGAGGCTAAAGCTAACAATGACTACTAGCCTAAATACTTCTGAATTCAGAGTGCTTCTGAATACTAGTTGCTGGAAACCACAGGAGGGGAGAGTGGTCTTGTTCCCTGGATGGCCACTGTGAAAACTGGATCCAGCAAGCCCTTCTGATGTTCTTATTCTTGCTTTCCCTGCTTCCTCACCAGTCCATTGGCCTACAGTATGCATTGCATGGAAGCATGGGAACAAGTACACTAGCAAAGCCGTCAGGCTTTATACAGTAGCCAAAGGAAATGGAGCCATGATATTCATGCCAATGGTAGTAAACAATGACACCTTGAAGCTTTTCTAAAGCTCATCGCCAACGACTCACACAATGCCTCTTGGCATTAAGAACATAAGAAGAGCCTGCTGGATCAGGCGAATGGCCTGTCTAGTGAAACATTTGGTTCTCACAGTGGCCAACAAGACGCCTAGGAGAAGCCTGGAAGCAGAACCCGAGCGCAAGAGCCCTTTCCTCTCCTGCAGTTTCCAAAAATTGGTATTCAGAAGCATTGCTGCCTTGACTGTCGAGGCAGAACCATCATGGTCAGATCAGCTGGTGTGGACTTCAGAAGGTTAGCTCTTTTGGGGTTGGGGTGAGGAGGTGTGGATGTTCTCACTGGCTGAGGGTTTTCAGTTCATCCCACTTCTGAGGCTCACTTGTGCTTGATCTCGTTTGGGCGAAGAGTCCTGAGGAAGGGTGCTGCCAAAGGGTCAGCAAAGGAAGGAAACAGGCTGTTGACAAACTCGCCTCCTTTAACATAACGTAATTGTGCCCAGATTTTACAGCTTCCCGTTATTTCTCAGGGAGGCATTGCTTTCAGAACAAAACAAAAACTCCTGGGTACATTTCTCCCCTGCAAGAAGACGGTCATCACCAGCCTCCAGTCCTTTTTCTCTGTTTGTTTTTCTTCTTTTTTGGCATTCAGCATTCCCTGTTTCTTATGGACCCCGCCCTGAACCCCAAGTGCAGTACCAGCCCTGCCTCATTCCAGGCAGATGGAGAATCCCTGGGGGATCATGCTTCTTGCTGGGACTTTGCCAGACGCCCCCAGATTCCAAGGTGCGGTTCTTTCAGGCATGGAGGAACTTGCTGCAGGGTTAGATTCTGTTCTCACTCATCATCCTCACCCAACAGGAGGGATCTGCTGGATCTCCCTCAGGGGATAGGCTGCGCTGGTCCTTGAAGCCAGGTGCCTTCTTCCTCCAGCTCTGGTTCCAAAGGAGTGCCTTCTGCACAGCCCAGGAAATCATGCAGAAGAGCAGCAAATCATTGAGCCACACAGGAAACTGCTGCCCAAAGGATCCATGTCAGAGGATTGTTATTTTGAGAATCTGAGAGGCTTTGTGGCCAGTGATGTGCTTATCTTAAAATCTTTTCAACCAGAGAGCCAGTGTGGCGTAATGGTGTGTCTGACCAGGACCTGGGTGAGAGCAGGGTTGAAATCACCTCTTGGCCATGAAGCTCACAGGGTGACTTTGGGCCAGTCACTGCCTCTCTCAGCCTAGCCTACCTCACAGGGTTGTTGTGGGGATTAAATGAGGAGGGGTAGAATTATACAGGCCACCTTGAGCTCCTTGGAGGAAAAGGTAGGATATAAATCAGGCATTGGCAAACTCCGGCCCTCCAGATGTTTGAGACTACAATTCCCATCATCCCTAGCTAAAAGGACCAGTGGTCAGGGATGATGATGGGAATTGTAGTCACAAACATCTGGAGGGCTAGAATTTGCCTATGCCTGATATAAATGCAATTAAAAAAATATGGATGTACGGTATATCCCAAGGACAAAAGAAACACTTGTATGTTCCTGATCTTAGAAGGCCATGCAAATCTCTCAAAAACGATGGTCCTCCAAACTAAGATAGTTGAAGGTGGTAGATGACATGCCTACCTTGCTAGAATTGCTGATCATGCAGTGTGGCCAGCTTAATCAGACACTGCAGTGGATCGAATGGGGTGTGGGTGTGGGTGTACACCACAGGAAACAATGGCTCTAACAGACCATCTTAAACTCTAAAAAAAACTACTGTTGATCTCCATACTTTGATGACAACCCTTTCAGCACAACCATATAGCATGTTAGCTCAGAGTTAATTCCCACTCAGTAAGGTTCACTCCCATGTAAGCATGTTTAGGGTTCCAGTTTCAGCTCTTCAATTTGGATAAATTTAAAACACCTTTGTAGAGTGTCAGCCCAGGCTTTGGGGACCAACAAAGAGGATTTAATCAGATGCAATGCAATGCGTAATCGCCACCACAGTTGCCCGTCTGGTTGTCCTCCTGGAACCAGGCATCATGGGGCATTATGTAGAAGATTGCCAGCTGAATGCCTCCTTAGGAAAGGACTGATCAGGAAGGACTATAGCAAAGAAGTCAAATGCAGCAGGGAGCCCTAGCCCCTACTTTTTATGATGAAGATGATGATGATGATGAAGAAGAAGAAAACATATTTTTATTAAAGATTTCTTGGTTTACAAAACTATGTGCAATGTCTCTTTTTTCAAATTAAATTTTCTACAGATCAGTTTCATTTGTTGAGACATTAGTGTTACATTAGGAAGAAAAGGGGGAAAGAGGTGGAGGGGGGAATGGTGAGTGATGGGATGTACACACAGTTGTCCTGAGATGCTTCCCTTGATCCATCACCTAGGAACATGATCCATATTCCCAAACCATTTCCTAAAACTGAACCAGAGTCAGGCCAGGAAAACCCTGTCCCTGGTTTGAGAGTGAAACCCTCCAGGTTCTGTTCTCTGGCAGTTCCCCAGCAATGCCAAAAAGTGTGATCACCACATTACATTAGGTGTGCTGTTCTCAAGTAACCTGACATGCCCAGCAAATCTGCCCTTGCCACAGCCCCTTCCAAACAAGCGTGCGTTGCGAAATCCTTACCTCTGAGCTGTCAGTTGCTTGCTGCTGCCTGAAGAAACTCTCTCCGCTACTCTGGTTAGACTCCAATTTCAGCACTCATCGCAATCATCCATTCCACCAGGGAAAAAAGTTTCCCCGCACAAGTTTTTCCCTCTGCCAGTTTTTGTACCTTCAGTTTGGATTTTTTAAAACAACAACAACAAACCCCAAATGCTTTCTTCTTCCAAAGCCAGGCACCAAATAGTTTTCCAAATTTCACAGAGGGAAGCGATTCCGTCTCCTCCACCGAGCCGAATTCCTGCTTGCGAAGATTGCCTGGGCTCGTTTGTATCCCACACGGCTCTCTGGATATGCTGAGCAAAAGAAGAATGTGATCATATCTAAGCAATTTGCACATTAATAAGTTCCTGTTTTTGATGCGGCAGATTCCAGCCCCTCTTCGCCCGGACGGCTTCCCCTGTATCACTGCTCGTCTCCTCCTGCCTACAAACGTAACGCATCCAGCTTTGCAAAGGCATGGAGTGTGCAAACTGCGGCAGGAGGGAATCCCACCCCACTCGTACCACCTCCTAAGACAATATCCTGCCAAAATATTGCGACTGTTGCAAAACCTGGACTGGAGCATGCAAAGTTCTGTCTAGAGCCAGCAGGAGCTCAGCAAATTGCCACGGTGGGTGGAAGATGGGACAAAGAGGCCCTTCTGTGTCTGGCTTCATTTAAAAGTCATGGAGGATGAGGGTGAGGATGACATTCCAGTAGTAACCAGCCTAAGGAGTCATCTATGGTCACTTCTGCATCTGTTAATAAACATGTCACATATTTGAAGCAGCTTGTTAGCCACTTGGAAGGAACACAACTTTTTTCTAACAGGAGGCTGGCCTGGGAGCTGGACGCAAAGCCTGGGAGTGTAGCCTAGTGTAGCCAACTGAGGCTCAGTCCAAAGTCTGATTCAGCTAAACCTCTCTTGTGTCCATTTGTGCCTGTATAATGCATTAGTGTGCATTCACTGCTCTGAGGTTCATCTTCATGGAATAAAAAGCTATCAGACCAGTTTCACTCCACGCACCAGAGAACCCCATATTGGGGAAAAAACACCTCTGTGACTCCTTTTCCCTGAGTACACAAATGATATTGATTCACTACATTGCACTAAGTACATTGCACTAAAACTTCAGCCCGATGGATGAATGGTGAAGAAACCGAAATGAAATGTTAAGAAAACCTCCACCAATCACAACCTTTCAGGTCATATTTAGGGCCAGTAGGAAAGAAAAACTGTGTTTGAATGTGGGCATTGGCTGCATCTGGCAAAATGGGCTTGAGCCCATGGAAGCTTATGCCACCACTATGGCCTTTGAAGTGCCACAAGGCTCTTCAATTGTTTGGGACAGCTCAGGTGCCATTGTGGTTGCTAGATGCAGCTGCTTGGGGGTTTCTTGGAGACACCTGGAGTCTGATTTGGGGGCATTGCAGTGAATTCTGGAATAAAGCCTTTGGCAACCATTGGGCTGAGAGTCTGAATGCTGCAGGAGGATCCAGGACACCTCTGTGTCTTCACAACATGCTCCACTTGGGGGAGGGGGGTCATCGGTGCTACTCAGTAGCGCAGATGATCCATAGCCCTGCCCTCACCCCCAGTTAGCTGAAGCCTCCCTGCTGTTGTGTTTCTACCTGCTGCTACAGACCTGCTGCCACATGTGATGTCATGCAGATGGAAGTGGTTTGGGGGAAATGGCTTCCCAGGCCCAAGTACGACCTGTGCTGGGTGGAATCAGCCCCACAGGCCAGAGGATCTCCACCCCTTTTGTAGTGCGTCAGCAAAGTGAATGTTAACACTGAATTTTTTCAGCAAACAAATGGCGTTTGCCAACCCTGATATACAAAAATGCTCCAGGCATGGTCCTAAGCCTCATTGCAAAGGTCTCACATTTTACATTTTGTGGTTGGGGGTGTGTGAGAGAGGGGCTTTTTAACATCCACGCACACTGATTGTGTAGGAGTGTTTGCAGAAAATAGTTTATACCAGATCTCAGTTGAACCCACCACAGGAAAGATGCAACTTTGTTGCTAGGAAAAAGGAAGGGCAAATGATGGAGTTTTCAAGAACTAGCAAATGAGGCAGAAGCAAGAAAGAAAATTGCACTAAAGGGGAAGGGAAACAGCAGCTCTGTAGGACCCCAGAGATTCCTATTGCCTGGTGTCCAATCAACTCACTTATCTGTTAGGGCTTTGACATCACTCATTGGCTAAAACCACAAACAAGGCTGAGAGGGGCCAGGCTGGCTTACATCTCACAGAAGTCAATTAGAAGCTTTGCTTGGTAACATTCTTTCCAGGAAGGCTAGATACTTATTGTCAAATGAAATCTCAGAGTTTGGGGTCCCTGCTGGCTGCAGTGCCTGGTACATAAGTAACCCCCATCCTTGCTTCTTGGCAGGCCTGGTCCTCTTCCTCTGACCTGCTCCCTCACTTGCAGCACCAGCACCTCCTGTTTCTAGGAAAGCAAGTGCTCCCTGGACCCAAGACGTGCCCAAGGTGGAAGCAGCCCACCTCAGGCAACCAATTGCAGTGGGCCTTGTTCTCCAATGAGAGGAAGCCTCAGAACGTAGCATAGGCCAGTGCTTGGTTCACTGACATGTAGCTAGTAAGTGCAGCTCATTGTGATCCTCATCCCAGTGTGTATCTGTGTTCACACCCTAAGCAACAAGAATTTACACAAAACAAAAATGGGGGGGGGATGAATCCTTTCTTGGTTAGTGACAAAGGCTTTTCTGTGGTGGCTTCTCTGGGACACTCTTCCCAGGTAAACAGGCCTCCTTCTTGGTTGGTCTTTAGAAGAACTGTAAATATGTTCTTCATTCCAGGCTGCAGTTAGTTCACCATTTTTATGGTGTTCTGTTTTAGCAAATGTCATACATGGTTCTCTCCCCCCCCCCTCCATTTAATCCCCACATCAACCCTGAGAGGTAGGTTAGGTGGAGAGGCAGTGACTGGCCCAAGGTCGCCTAGTGGGCTTCATTGCTGAGAAGAGATTTGAACCCTGGTCTCTCAGGTCCTAATCTGCCATTCTAACCACCACACCACACTGGCTCCCAATCTACTAGAGAGTAGTACTATGAAACTACTAAACTAGCAAATCTCTATAGTTGCGCTCTCTCTTTTGTTATTTTCTTGTCATTTTAATATTTATCGTATAATGATGACGCTTGAGGTTATAAACTACCTAAGGAGGGTAGGTACCCCAAAAGGTAGGCTAAAGAGCAGCTAATACATAAATAATACCCCACCCGCCAAGCAAACTCTGTCTCTATCATCTATGACTCCTCCATATATTATCCGTCATTCCTTGGCATCCAGCTAGCTGCAAAACAGATTGTCAAAAACAAGCCAAACATCTAGTTTGAATAGGAATGAGGATTTGACCACGTACCACAACATCTGAGTTTGTGCCATCTAAACTGATAGGGATTTGGAGGTGCATCGCAGGTTGCTTGTTCTGGGAATAACAAGGCAGTTTTTGTGTTGGGATTCCTTGCCAGTGTTTGGCCAACAGACATGTTCCTGTCTGGATGTTGCTGCAGGGATGTTGTGGTATCATATTATTTATGAGGGAAAGCCCAGGAGGCCTTTCTGAAGGCGTCATGCGGTGTTATCTCTGTGGTATTTAATTGATGCCACCCTTGTTGGAGGCTGATTGCCAGGATGTCTTGATTCTTCCTCCTCTGCCTGGCTCCCTCCCAAGACAGTGCCAAATATGCAGTTCAGCATATGCCTACTGCGCTTTATCCTTTCTGCCTGTGAAGAGAGAGCAGGAGAACAAAATGGTAGAAGGGCCAGGAGTCGAGACTGATCAGGTGGCTCCAACAACGTCTTGCCGGGGGTGGGGGGTGGGGAATCAATGCATGAAAGCTAGAGCTGGAGAGAGCAGGCTCCTGGTGTGCTACACAAAATGCCCAGAGCGGGAAAGTGAGGCAGGAATACAGAACCACAGTGGGGCTGGTAGGAGGCTGGCATGGGCTCCAGTGTCTGTAAGCACCACCCCACAGCTGTAGAAAAGGAGGAACTTCTTACGGTGGCTTAGGAGAGCCTTCACCAATGCGGTGCCTTCCATATGCTTTGAACACAAGAATATCAGAAAATAAGAACAGTCTGCTGGATCATGGCCAATGGCCCATCTAGTCAGCATCCTGTTCTCACAGCAGCCAACCAGATGCCCCAAGGGGAAACTCACAAGCAGGATTTGAGCACAAGAGTACAACCTTCCCTAATCCTTGACAGTTGGCCATTTCTGACTGCTGGGGCTACCTGGCTCCATCAACACCTGGAGAGTGCCGGGTTGAGGAAAGCTGACTTAGAGGAAACCACTCTCCCCTCCTGCAGTTCCCAGCAACTGGTATTCTAAGTATTCCTGCCTCCGACTGTGGTAGCAGAACATAGTCATCATGGACAGTAGCTGTTGATAGCCTTCTCCTCCATGAATTTGTCCAATCTTCTTTTAAAGCTATCCACGTTAGTGGTCCTCATTGCATCCTGCGGGAAGAAGCTCCACAGTTTAACTATGCACTGCGTCTAGTAGGACTTTCTTTTATCAGTCCTGAATCTTCCAGCATTCAGCTTCATTGGCTGTCCATGAGTTCTAGTGTTATGAGAGAGGGAGGAGAACTTTTCTACATCCACTTTCTCCATGCCATGCTCTAAACCCTTCCCATGTTTTGTGGGTCCCAAATGGATACATTTGGAGAACCAGAATGGCCCCTAAGGAAGCCTATTTTCCAGCTGGAGCCTCTTTTCCCTTCCATTGACTACTGTTGTTCTCGTGATCTGCTCCAGATGGCTTCACTCTTCTCACATTGACATTTGAAGTCGCCTGAACGCTTTTTGGAATTTATTTTAGGTGGAAGATCTACTTAAGCAGAAGCTATAATTCTTCTTTAATGAGCCAAAGTCCATTTCTGCCTCGCTGAAGGACGTATTGGGGGCTGGTGACATATTGCTTAGGCCAAGCCTGGTGACTCATCCCCCTCCCACCCAAAAATCGCTCTCTCAGGGAGATGGAATGAGGTTGGAAAACAAGAGAAGCTGAGTACATATCAAAGGAGAATTACACTCACTGCGGCATGAAGTGAGGAGGACGTTGGCAATTTCCATTCAGTTGCTTGCTCCAACCCGCCTAATGACCAGGGCTCAGACTTGAGGCTGTGGGGTCATAGCTGTCAGGGTGCTGGGTCCCTTTAGAAATAAAATCCATCCTGGC